TGTCGTTTAGGATTTTTAGTTAGAAAACTTATAGAAATGTGACAAACACATCCACCCTTAATGTTTTGGTTTTTATGTGTTTATTTAGGCTGAATATCGGTTCTATGAAGCCATGGGTCCAGTGCGATCTCCCGTCACTCCAATCCCGGTTGTACTTGGTCTAGAATTGTATGGGGAGGGTGAATTAGCTAGAATTGATTTAACTGGCAACAATTTTACTTCAAATTTAAAGATTTGGTTTGGAACAACACCAGTGGATACTGTTTTTAGGTATTGACATTTGATCGTTTCGACCAGGTGTTATATCACATTTCGATTACAGTATACGAAAGCATTGTCCTTTACGAGCGTTTCTAAATGTTTTGAGCAAAATTTTTTAAAATGATTGCGGCATGATTGGAGTGCTTTCAGTATTTGGTTGTGGTTGATGTCTTGATGAATTGATAATCGAGTGGCATTTGTAGCATTCATATTTTCAAAATTGAAAACAATGATTTAGTGATCAAATTTTTACGAAAGATCTTTATTGTTTAGGTCTGAAGAATCAATTGGCTGCTTTGTGCCACCGTTGGCAACCGTATGCGCAAATTGGTGTCATTATAGTGGCGAGCTGACTGAAGTACCGATATCATTGGTTCGTGATGACGGTGTTATTTACGCAACAAATATGAACTTTAGCTATAAAACTGAACCAAGTGCTCGTGCTGCTGCTAGGCGGTTATGTTAAAATAGGAGTTGTTGAATTTGCCTCAAAATTGGCTGAGAAAAAAAATTTTTCTGATTGTTCTTATTTTAGTGAAAAACATGTATGTAAAGATTGATTTCTGGTTGAAATACGCTGTTGTTTATCTCCTTTAACCTGCTCTTCAGTCTTCAGATCTCATTTTTTAGCTTTTTATATGTTTACTGGTGATTATTTCTGTTTTGTGATTTTTTTTCAGTTTTTATGTTTCTTAAATTTTTTCCACTACATTTTCAATTCAGTACCATTCTAAGAATATAAAACTGCTGTTGTAATTTAGAAAAAATTTATGAAGCTTTACATATCTGTAGATTACAGCAATAGTTTCGTATCTTTGAAATGCTATTCGATCAACGCTATAATGGGGAGAGAAGACAGTAATGAAACTGAATGTTGTGTAATCTAAAGTATTTTTTTAATTTTAGAGTACCGGTGGCAAAACAACTTATTATAGAAACAGAGAAAGAAAAGAATGTTGTCAATAAAAAGTTGACCAGTAAGCGTATAAATGGCAAAAAGAAAGGTTGAAACAAAATAACTGTCTTTTTTTTCGCTGATTCTATTTGTTTTATTTAATAATGTATTTGCAACTATTGACTTTTAAATAAATATTATGATACAGAATTAACTTGATGTGCACAACTGATAGAAACATCTTAGAGGGTTGAACTGATAAGGTGATGAATGGCTTAAATAAAACATGTGGGAATTTTTGGTGTTTAGAAATTGGGCACAGATAAAATTTTCAGATTTAAGACCAAGTTACTTCTAGAAGTTGTAGGATGGTGTAGGAAGCAGACAAGTTGGTTTCCTGGAGCAAGTTGATGACGTACAAGCAGCTTTTACGGTATCTGGTTACTTAATAAGTGTTTAGTGACGGATTGCAGTGTTTTTTTCTTTTCTATTTTTTTTTGATTCCTAACTTTATGTCGGTAAGTCGCTGTGGTTACTGTGATATGGTGAGTGATGGGGCATACTGATTGGCTAATTCAGTTATTCGACTTTAATTGTGGAGGTCACAACTCAATTGATTTTCTAGTTCGACTTAAAAACGGTATATTGCTTTTAAAGTGTCAGTTTAATATAAAGCTATCGAGCCTATTTGGTTGGCTGTCACTTTTGGTTACTTTTGTTTTTATTATTTATTATTTATTTATTTATTTATTATTATTTTTTTTTTGTTGTTGTAATATTGATGGATTTGTTTATGCAAGAATTTCAACAATTGGATGTACTGTGGAAACGATGTGAAAGAATATTGATATTATTGTGTCGAGCAATACACGTGGACGGGTTTTCTCTTTTATTGTCACTGATTGGGCTGAGTGTGTGAGAATTTATTTATTCATTTTTTTTTTGCGAAAAATGTTCAGCTGACATTTCTCAGCATTTATGTTGGCATTTGATCACCGGAAGCTTATCATTAGTTAAATAATACTTTCCAAGTAACCTTTTTTGTCTCACTAATTCTTCGCTCTTTACTGCTGTTTTTTACTTTTTTATCCTTGAATAACTAAAGTCTTTAAAGTGTCTGTGTCTAATTCTTAAAGCTTTTTTTTTTATTTTAAAATTTGCTTGAAGACGATTTATTTCCGAAAGCAGGAGGATGGATAGATCTTGCATGATCGCAGAGCTTTTGCTTTTTCCACTGAGAGATGTTTGTTAAGACAGGTGAGACGGCAGAAGAACTACGACGATCAGGGTCTAGACCTCTGCGGCAATATGCCCTGATGGTCATTGAAGAATTCGATGTATTTTACTATTTGTTGAGTTGATTAACGTTAGCATTCTCCTAATTTGCATAATTCTCTTTGAAAAATCTTCTTCTCTTTTGTTGCCGATTAACATTTCCAGTGGCATTAGTTTGCTGTCGACGTTTTAAGGCTGTCTTTTGACATTTAAATGGATAGCAGATAAAAATACTGTGTTAGCAGCGGTTGATTAAAGATATCGATTAAATGCATCAGTGAAGCATCAAATTTCGATGCTAAAAGTGCTGTTATTCCGAACGGTAAGCAATTGTTCTTTTGATGATATTTTTTTTGTATTATAGCTGCACATTTTTTTTT